CCCCCCCCCCCCCGCCTTCAATTTTGCTCCTTTTTTCCCCTCTCCCTTCTCTTCACCTCCTCGTTTTGGAGGTTTAGGGGTACAAAATAGACGTGTCAGAATGACTTTTCCATTTTGAGGCAAGAATTTAGAAAATTCCAAAGGATCAAGACAAGAACAAGATTTTTTTTCTGATATACCAATTTTTTTTACAGTATAACCGCAAATTATAAAACTAATAATTAAAGTGTAGTACGTATTCCTTTTCATTTGACCTGCCACCAGGCTGCTATAACACCACCAAGATGACAATTTGTCGATTCTGTTACCTCCGCGAGACCCAAAAGATCTTGGTTCACGATGTTACGTTTGTACTAAATTATGTTACACGATGGGAATGTTTTGTAAGTAGTTAACATTTTAACCAAAATACAGTACTCATCAGAGTTTTAAGTTAACAGTTGATTCTTCTACTTGCAATATGATTTAACCATTGTTCTCCCATTTTTAAAAGGACACGATGTTGCCACCTTGCTGGTGGATGCTTTGACTGTTTAGTGGTAAAGCATTTAATAGGAAGCAGGAAGTAAACGTACAGTTTTAATTTGGTATGACTGTTTTTTTTTTAAATCAAAATTCTGTGTTACGTTGAGTGGGTTTCAAAGCGTTGTTTTAAAGAAATTATGTTAATTTCGGGCAGTAGTTTCCTAAACTTTTGATATTACATACAGCATGTGGAAATTTGCTGATATTTTATTGGTAATACACAAGTTGTGAGGGACATCCCATATATAATATAATTTTCTCCGAGGTGAATGCCAGAATTCCGCTGATTCGTGAGGATGTGGCACAGTGCTGAATTTGTTTTGTTGCTCTGACAGGTGGAGTCGGACACAGAGCCTCCTGATTGGCTTGTGTCTGACCAGGAGGAGGAGTTGATTCGTCTGCTCAGCGTGGAGAACCTCCACCAGTCAGAACCCACCACCGACATCATTCAATTGCTTGTTGCTTAGACATGTCGTTACTATGTGTTGTGTGAAACCCACAGTGCATTTATTTCACTTCATTTTCTTGCTTAAAATTCAGGTTTTGGTTTTTAATATGACTTTGCAATCTAAATTCGATATTATTAATATTTTATATATACTTTTGTATCTATTCCTGTTTGCGTTTGGTCAATAAATGAGCTTCATGCAACATGATGGGTTGTAAAGAAAGTTGTATGTAGCGAGGTATGTACAGACTTGTTTGTGTGAGTAGTGCACTAACACAACAGTGAGGCATGCATGGCATGTTGTTAACAGTTGTTTTGTTGTTAGAAAAGTGACACACAAACATCCATGCCTGAGGTCGGTTGGGATAGCTGGACAGTATCTGTGCTCCATCTGAATGAAACGTGTGCAGTTTTTGTTAACATTTGTTTCATATCCAAAAAAAAATTTATGTGCTCTCTGGAATTTGTCGTTTGACATAAAAAGTGGTGCTGTAATTTTCATAACAATTTTTCTAGGCATAAAATTTAATAAAGGTAAATAAACTCAAGTAAGAAAATACTATGCTCTAAAAAAAATAGAGTAAGGAACTGTTTTAAAGTTTGGAAGGATTGTCTCAGTATGCAAACCACAAATCAAAGAATTTGTGCATCCAACATATCATTTCCTGGTAATGGAAGCAGAGTCATCGTCTAGAACACTGTAATTTTAATTTTTATTCCACAGTGATATGGCTCGTAGTCACAGAAAATATATTTGAATCACATTTGTGTGAAGGGTTGAGGTGTTGTAAAAAGCGACATTCTTGTTCGACTCTGAAAGGGAGAGTAAAGTATTGCTGCTCTGCTACGTGCCGTGGAGGTGCTTGGGAGGAGAGGAGGTGTAGCGTCTACTTGTTCTTGACATTGGCACTTGTTGGGGCTAAGTGCTTAGTGCCATGCACCAGCTGCGCTTTACTCCTGAGGAAAGACCCCTAGTACCCATTGCACTGGAGGCTGGGTGGACCCCAGAGCTAGTCTCTGGATACAGATGCTAGAAGGAGGAGAAAGTGTACTTATTTTATTACAGTTTAATTGTCTGTGTTGGAAAGGATGAAAGTGGTGCTATTGTGGAGGGACTGAGTAAAGCCAGATAAAACTTGAGTTGAGGTGGAAATATTAACACTTTGTTTTGTTTTGTAATGTTGAAGCCCCCCACTAACAATGTTTTTGCTTGGAAAAATTGCATGTGAAAGGGGTGCCAACCATTGCAGATTGTTTGGAATTGTGTAGTTATGCAAAATCAACAGTGAAGGTTAATAATGTTGCATTCTGCTGAAATAGTACTTTGTTTCTCATATATGTGAGCTGTGTCCACGTCCCATTATTTTGATTTGTGTTGTTGGTAAACTGTTGCACATCACATGTTCAACAATACAATATATATTTTTTTGTTATGCTGCAGAAGGTTGGCATCTTTGCTTGAGGCTTATTTGTTATATTTTTTTGATGAACGTGTGTTCATTTGCATAGGTGATGGTAACCAACGTGACTTCCCTGCTCAAGACCGTCAAAGCCGTGGAAGATGAACACACACGTGGGACACGTGCTCTCGAGTCTACCATTGAGGCCATCGCGCAAGAGATTCGAGTGAGTTAGAAACTTCTGTACTGAACAAAACATTTGTATTTTGTCTTCTTGTAACCCATAGACACACCGTTTGATTTTTTCTCAATACCTGCATGAAATCAGAAGAAATGCGGCAGAATTATTACAAAACTTCTCTGTAGATGTGTGTCTGTATGAACAGGAAAACAGTCTGAAATTTTCATGTTTGGAGTTTTGATTGCTGAAGTGAAGAATGTGTGAAACTTTCCCACATATTTTATCTCTTGGTGTGGCGCTCAGGTGCAGGCTTGTTCTCAAACTTCAAAACAGCTGTAATAATACAGTAAAATTTCTAGACAGGAAGAGTGTCCAAGTCTTCTGCCTGATGTGCGCTTACAAGGAACACTTTACTGATATTTTATTGTGTGTGTTGCAGGCACTGCATTCTCCAGAGCATCAGAAGAGTCGTGCTACACCAGAGGAACTGGTTCGTTGCACCAAGTCGATCACTGTAGCCACTGCGAAGGCAGTCGCAGCTGGCAATAGCTGCAAGCAGGATGACATAATTGTCGCTGCTAACGTGGGGCGGAAGGCAATATCCGACATGCTTACAATATGCAAGGTGCTCCACCCTAAATTTTAAAATAGTTGTTGACTGGCACAGAAATTAAGACTGTGGTGTCAGTCGTGAGACATGCTCTAAAGAGCGGCATATTAAATAGTTCAAAATACATTGCACAGACTGTCTTATATCTAGATGGCTATTTTTGTTCAGAATGCAGTGACATGGTGATAATATTGTTTTTTTAAAAAGAGGAATTTCATTTTTATAATTTAAATTACAAAAATGTCTTTAATGGTGACTTGACTCTGTTGTTGCGCGTTGCAGGGAACAGCCAATTCAGCAGACAGCGAGGAGTTGCGCAAACGAACGCTACAGGCTGGACACGATGTGGCTGTTCAGTACCGTGAACTGCTTCAGACCGTCTTGCACATTCAGAGCCGTCCAGGCGGTGCTGCAGATGCCAAGCAAAGTCTGCCGCCCATCTCACGCCGCATAGCTCAGTGTGTCACGGAATTGGTGACATCTGCTGAGTTGCTAAAAGGTATTGCATGTTGCCATCGTACTGCCTAACATTGCAGCCGAATGGTATTTGCGAGCTTGTGGGTTTGAATCTTGACCCAAAGACTGGTTATCGTGACAGGTATCTTGTGTTTTTCCTCAGGCATAAGTGCCTTAAATTGGGCCATGACCACTTTCATTCATATCCTTTTCAGTTCTTTGTTATTAATCCTATCATTTGACGGTTGAAAATGTATCATCTGGGCGGTTCTACAGACATTCTCTCACCCCTTTCGCAGTAATAAAAGAGAAAAATACACGAAATTGTTACCTTTATTTGTTGTAGGAACAGACTGGGTGGACCCGGATGACCCAACTGTTATTGCAGAAAATGAATTGCTGGGTGCTGCGGCTTCTATTGATGCCGCTGCAAAGAAGTTGGCAAGCCTGCGCCCAAGGAGATCTATTCAGGTGAGCTTCGTGAAGCCTTCGGTAAGATAAGAGAATGGGTGTCAAGACTGCGTGTTTGAAGTTCTGGCCCCTGTGAGATATGTTTGATATTCTTGGTTGTTTATGTAAATATCACCCAGGAATCAAACATATTATTACAGTGACCAGTAGCAGCTGCAGGCACACGTTTAGCCGAGTCCCAAGGTATGTATGTCAGATGAGATACTAAAGTTAAGTTTGTCATATTTGCTGTTAATCTTTCATCTGTTGGTGAAAGAGTCGGTAACCTTTGTGCTAGCCAGTGTTTGCTCAGTTAACAGAATTTTTATATAATGAAATATTGCATCCCTACACACACAGATGATTTGATTTTATTTCCCCCCCCCCCCCCCCATTTAACCTTTTCATGGTTCAGTTTTCTTACATAACTGATTCTCCGTCCTTGTATTACAAGTGAACGTGGCCTTTAAAAACTTGACAGAATTTTTTACATAAGTAGGTGACTGAGGGCAAGCTGTTTCCACTCCGCCTAAAGAAAGTATTTTTATTTTTGGTTTATTTAATAATTCTGTCAGTAGCTCTGATTATCATATCCCATGATAACTGATTAATACATATGAATTGGAAAGGAGGCAGAAGGGATGAGTCGTGGCCTATTGAAAGGTACTATTCTGACATTTGCCTTTAGGGATTGAATAAAACCAACGAAATCTCAGTAAGGATAGGCAGTCTGTAGGCCGGGATTTGATCGTGGGACCTCCTGAATACAAATAGCCTCTCGGCCATGACACATCAAAGAATGAGCGTACACCGTGGCATGTTTATACGTAGTCAGTATAAATTGTGCATACTGAAAAGGGGATGCGCAATGAAATAGTGCGGGCACTCCGTATGAAAGTTGTAATACAAGTTTGTGTTTCTGTTGGTAGGAGGCTGATGAGAGCCTCAATTTTGACGAGATGATCTTGGAGGCTGCCAAATCCATCGCCGCTGCAAATTCTGCACTTGTAAAGGCTGCATCTGCCGCACAGCGAGAACTCATTGACCAGGGCAAGGTAAGGTGATCGAAGGAGACGCGTCTTTTCTCTCGGCGTCGAGGGATAATATGGCACAAAGCGTGAAGACAGATGTTTATATGAAATGTTCGATTTTTTCCGATTTTTCATTGGGGACATCTGCAAACTAATGCTGCCTTAATTATATTACAATGCAAATAGAACATTAAATAATGATAAATCCTAAATTGAGGAACATTTACTGGTGATTTCACTACATGGATCGTGGGTCTACGTTGGTCCTTCATCCGTCATTGATTTATGCACTAACGACGACAAATATTATTTTAACTTTTATCCTCCTGTCCCTAAAGTAATTTTTTCCTATGATGTTTTCTCAGCCAAAATGTTTCTTTCAATTTCCCTAGTATTGACCAAAATTCATATCATTCATAAAATTTATTAAATAAATAAATAATTGCACGAACGTGTACTTTATTTTCACGCAGGTAAGCAGACGCCCCCTGACCAGTTCTGATGACGGACAGTGGTCAGAAGGCCTAATCTCAGCAGCACGTCTGGTAGCAGCTGCAACACACAGCCTGGTGGAATCTGCTAACTCACTGGTACAGGGGATGGCATCAGAGGAGAAGCTCATCTCCAGTGCAAAGCAGGTTGCATCTTCCACTGCACAATTGCTTGTAGCGTGCAAGGTGAAGGCCGACCCTGATGCAGACAGCACTAAGCGTCTACAGGTACGTAGCTTCCTGTGTGTGTGCGCCTAACCATTGTCCCTTAAGTGAACAAATTTAGTCATTTTCTACTGGACTGCAAGGTGCTACGTCCCAGAACACGGTCATTCTCATTTAAATGTAGCTGCAAGGGTAGGTTGCATGTGATTTGAGTCGTCTGCTTTGTTAAGGCTGCCGGCAATGCCGTGAAGCGCGCCACTGACAATTTGGTGAGAGCGGCGCAGCAGGCGATCCAGCAAGAGGAAGAACGTAGTTTGGTGTTTTATGGTCGGGGGCATCGCACAAGAGATCAATGCACGCACCGAAGTTCTGCGCATTGAACGTCAGCTGGAGGAGGCGCGTGGGCGACTCACTGCGATCCGACAGGCCAAGTACAAGAAGGGCGGTGATACCAGCGCGTCAGATACGGAGCCAGACGGATATGGCAGTGGATATGAGTCATTTACCACAAGGTACGTTAACATTTTCTCGCAGAATTTTTATTATTCTGATTTTAAGTTATACATTTTTGCGTGATACTTAAGTAAATGCGAATTTTAGAGCTGTAGATAATCAGTTTATTAATTAGAATTTTTTACGTTGGTGACAGGTATGAGACAAAATCATATGATAACAGCCTGACCCCAAAACATTCTGCCAATACATCACTGGTGTACACTTCCAACATGAGCCCGAACGGCAATGTGCAGGGTCTCTCGTCACCAGAGAAATTGCTGTCTAGCATCACGAAAGTGGAACACGCGTACAACAATATACAAGGGATGCTGGACGAGGCTGGTGACGGTACTAGAAAGATGTCTCCGAATATCAAGCCAGTCGCTAGGAAGGTTTTGACACAAGAAGTGCCCCCCAGCACTGGCCAGACGTACTCGACTGTCACGACAAACAACTACTCCGAGTCGGTCAACAATTTTGCCTCTTCTGGCGGTGACGAGAGCACAACCCTGGAACAACGCATGCTGAAACAACACACCTCGCAACGCACCACGGAGAAACGCACCGTTACCATGACGACACGTCGGGGGCATCGCACAAGAGATCAATGCACGCACCGAAGTTCTGCGCATTGAACGTCAGCTGGAGGAGGCGCGTGGGCGACTCACTGCGATCCGACAGGCCAAGTACAAGAAGGGCGGTGATACCAGCGCGTCAGATACGGAGCCAGACGGATATGGCAGTGGATATGAGTCATTTACCACAAGGTACGTTAACATTTTCTCGCAGAATTTTTATTATTCTGATTTTAAGGTATACATTTTTGCGTGATACTTAAGTAAATGTGAATTTTAGAGCTGTAGATAATCAGTTTACTAATTAGAATTTTTTACATTGGTGACAGATATGAGACAAAGTCATATGATAACAGCCTGACCCCAAAACATTCTGCCAATACATCACTGGTGTACACTTCCAACATGAGCCCGAACGGCAATGTGCAGGGTCTCTCGTCACCAGAGAAATTGCTGTCTAGCATCACGAAAGTGGAACACGCGTACAACAATATACAAGGGATGCTGGACGAGGCTGGTGACGGTACTAGAAAGATGTCTCCGAATATCAAGCCAGTCGCTAGGAAGGTTTTGACACAAGAAGTGCCCCCCAGCACTGGCCAGACGTACTCGACTGTCACGACAAACAACTACTCCGAGTCGGTCAACAATTTTGCCTCTTCTGGCGGTGACGAGAGCACAACCCTGGAACAACGCATGCTGAAACAACACACCTCGCAACGCACCACGGAGAAACGCACCGTTACCATGACGACACACTCGCAGCTCAAGTCATACCGTTTGAATGAGAGTTAGGTGTCGCCGATTCTTGCACGGCTGAGCTGTCCTTAATCTTAGATATATTGTTAGTTGCTTGGAGTTACTAAAATCAAAAAGTGCACTTGAGAAATTGGCTGGAGATGCACTTGAGTGCCATCCATTGTTAATATAGGGTAACATTTCTGGTGCTATACATACTAATAGGTTTGGATATTATTTTTTTTTTTTCCCCTGACGTTTTTATCGTGCATTTAGAGGGTTATAATCGTCATAACATCCAACTGGAATGTTGTAAGTGCAGAAGTTCATATCATCTAACTGATAATTAATTTTAACGAGTAAATTTATCATTTACCTCGTAACTTTATGATTTAAATTTAAGAAGCAACATATCAATTTTTACCCCTGCTTTATTTACGCAACAGTAAAGTTGGTAGTTTAGTTGTTACCCAGATCTCTGATTCTGCATGTCTTTTACTTATTTTTCAGAGTTATGTTCTTAGTGTACCCATTGTGGTACGCTAGCGTTTATGTTGGCCGTGCCATGCTAAATATATACTGGAAGGTATCGACTTATGTGACCGTGACTAGGTCTGAGAATGCGGTAGGTTGAAAGGAAAATGCGCCGCTGTTGGTGCCCCACCATGTCTGCCGGTTTTGACAGAGCTCCGTAAAGGTATAAGCACTCCCGAGTCTCTTCGGCGTGAATCCGATCGCCGGTGCCTGGATGCACCTCCAGATGTCCTGGTATGAGTCCTGTAATGAATCTTCAATATTAACTTTCTCGTATTTTCTTGCGGAGAGAATAATGTGCATTGTAAAAGCAAATTTGATTTTTCGATATGTATATGAATTTTTGGGTATCGCCCGCCTGCGTCCAAAATAATATAAAAATTTAAATAAAATTGAAAAGTTGTTTTGTTTGACCTCTGTTCTTGAGGAAATAGCATACCGAAGGTGCCAAAATCCGCTGGATAAGTTTAAGCAGGTTCTGTATTGGCAAGGGTTGACCACATTACTGTTTTGTTAGTGTGGTCTCTATGAGCACGTGAATCAAATGTTTTGTTGACGAGTACTGTTTTATACATGAAAGGCAATCACATATATTTTCAGAATGATATAAACACATCTGTAGCCAGAAGTCGCAGCTGCGGCTTGATGATGGAATCTCTCGTATATCATTTTCTTACAAAAAAGGCGTGACCGAATAATGCGGCACTGAACACGAGGAAGGTTTATTGTTCTTGAACTAATTTCGTGTAGCGCGACTCGGGTTACAGATGGTGTTGCTGTGCCTTTGGATGAGATACCACATAGGAAGTGATATATGTATTTGTAGCTGGGATTGTTATAACTTTGTGATTAATTTAGATGTTTTATTTGTGTATTTGATAATATATTACTCTAACTAAAATTTTCCATGTGTAATCCTCCAACTTCCCATCAATCTGTAGTGTATATTTTTTTACAGGGGTGTTCGCATAACAACATTCATTTGGCAAATTTATTAAGTGAGTTTGGTGTTAGGTGGATCCACTTCCAGGTTGAAACAAATGGACCTGAATCATGCAGTACAAGAAGACTGTTCTGGTTTGCTCTTATTTAAACGCAGGATTTAATAATAAACAGCTCACAGAATGCACATATTTAAAGAGACTGGTCATTCCACCTCAAACTGGGAAGTTGAAAATTAAGCAAATAATAAACTGTGACTTCCAAAATTCGTGATGTTTCTGAGATCGTAGACAGGCATATTTAATATTTTGCAATTGGGGGAGGCTAGGCTCACATCTCTCTTGTTCTATATATGTTTGTCAACCCAGTCTTTTCAAGAGGGCAGTTGCAAACAGTTTCACATGTTAATCTGCGATTAATGTAACAAAATTATTTATTTATTTTATTAGTTGCTTAAAATTGAATATTTTATTTACATGATTACTATTTCTATTATAATGATTTATTATATTTGTGGTTTAATCCAAAACTGAGTAGTGCAAGACTAGTGTCATATAGAATTACAAAGATGTATGCTGATAGTACATAACATGGGTGGCCTTTAGTCTGAAAACTCTGGTATCTGTGTCAGTTTCCACCCCACATCAACTGATGGTAACTTTAATGTCATGTTGTCTATTTGACATGGTATAGTCGTACCGTTCAAACACGAGTTATTTGAAATTGGCGCTCTTTGTCACGGTTGCTACATTTTGTTATCGATTAACGGTAAAAGATCGATATCATGACGTACTTCCCTTTGCTTAACATGACGAAAATATGACATTTTTCATTTTCTTCTCTTCTCTTTTGATTAGATTCAAATAAGAAAGCAAAATTCCAATGAAAGTTGCTTGAGAAATAGTTATTTAAGCATATTAATCCCAGAAAACATAAGCACTATTTTGACTCACGCATGTTCTCATCATTGCGGGCGTTCTAAACTATCTTTCCGTGTAAATCTTTGTACGTAAAGAGGTGACATTTGTCAATGTGCTTTAGTTTGCAGTTTGCACAAGTCCTTAGATTCTCAGTATTTAGAATGTTTTAAAACAGTGAATGAAATGTTTGTCATAGTTTTGTGAGCTTGAATATATACGTGAACTAATTGCGTATCTGAATCACGATGATCGTGTAATTAATCCGGGGTCAAGTTTCCTTACACCAGTGCTTTCCAAACTGCTTTGACGTCCACATTTTTTATGACGAAACAAAACACAGTTCAAATAAAAACTAGATAAAAGATGTTTTAAATTTTAATAATATTCTTCGCTGTAGTAAAGTTGATAATATCGAATAATTTACCATATTTCCCATTGTACATTCATGACAGCACATAGAATGTGATAAGTCAGGTTCTATCTTAAGATTTTAGTTTTTGCTTCATAAGATTAAAGCTAGGCGAATCTAGCAGGCAAGAAGCATCTAGATAGATCTCTAGTAATCAATAAAAACAGGATTTAAGTTTTAATGGTGCCTAAGCACCACTTCACGAAGCCTCATGCAGTTGTGGACAGGACGATCTACCCATTCTTAAACTCTGCACTAGATGAAGGATGGTGGTTAGTCTTATGCTTCTGTTATTACATCTGTGCATTAGCTAACTTAATAAAAACAATGTTTTTCTGTTAGGGGCTACAGCTTTTAATATATGCAAAGCCTAAATTTAATGACAGGTCAGAGTGGATTAGGTTAGGTTAGGTTAAAACATTTAATAACCATAATTATACTTAATGTTCATCAACAAATTTACTTGGTCACTGTATACTTCCCTTTTGTTTTGATCTTTAATATATAAACTGTGGGTAGTGAATGAAATTTCCCTAATAATGGGTCAGTAAGCATCAATGAGATTTAAGTAATTTTCCATCAGAGTAGCAGCGCAAAATTTCATAAGCCAGCCATGTTTGTACTAGCTTCTGTAAGAGCCAGAAGTCCCTTTAGATGCATATCTGTGTCTTATAAGTTCAATAGAATGTTTTTAATTTTATGTTTTTTGGTTACTGGTAGTAATTAAATCCACAGAACTAGTAATTAATTTGTAAGGCCAAAACTTCTTCAGGGCATAGTTTGGAAAGCACTTTTTGAGACTAATTAAAATGGTGATAGTGTTGAGGATAACGAACCGTGTTACTGGATCATCAAAATGTGTTAAAGTGTTGAATTTGTGATACAGGACACACACCTCATCGCAGGATACCAGGTAATGACAAAATTTATTTTTATTTATCTAAAATGATGTTTGATTCCTGTTAACACAAGTTTATTTGAATAACCATGTATTTTTCTTGTTATATTTCTTGTTCGTTAAAATAATTGTTCTTTATGTAAAGTCTTTCTGTCTTCGGAGCATTATCTAAGTTTCCCTATAAATTTTAAAGTTCATTGTGAACTTATATTCTATGTAAAGGCATATATTATGCCTATGTTTTCACAGAATTTTGTTGTGGGCATTCTATAGGTCCTACATCAAAGAAATTCACGTGTTAGCATGGCTAACACTTTGAGAAAGAAATTGAAATATTTTCTGTCTTATTTTTGTGGTTCAGTGGCATTCATCTCGCACATTGGAACATGGCAGAATTGGTCGAACAAAGTCCATCGTTAGCCAGCTACTGCCGGCCAGGTTTATTTGTTACTTAAGGCTTATACTTACTTAAAGACAAAGTTCAAATCTGGTTTTAAATAACTTATTTTGCTACTAGTCTGTGTATTCAGGAGGCCACACCTATGGACAGCCATTATTATAAAAATAGATGTTATTCAGTACATTCAAAAATTTATATTTTCTTTAAAACATTGAAATTAATATTTCCATTGTCTTTTTAAGTGGACCTGACTTTTCTTGAGGAGGGTATAGATATTCAACTAGTTAAGAAATTTTCTGAGATGTCTGTATTTGGTTTTGTCCTCCCAGAC